CAAAATCGACAATCTCATCCATCAAGCCACATAAGTATGTACCATCATGTGACTTGTCTGATGCATCAATAGACTTAACAAAAAAAGTACCTGTTGGGCAGTTAACCAAAAAATTAATGAATGCCCTTGATTTCCCATCGGACCAACCGTCACACATAATAGTGGCCCCATATTTCTCCCACCCTTCTCTCTGAGAAATCAAAATTTTATTCACATCAGATACAACATCCTTCAACAAGGGCTCCTTAACCTCATGTAGTGAAGGCGGAATAAGTCCTGGGCTATATTGCCCAATTGCCTAGACCATACATGCAAAACTATCCAGAGTTATAGTATTAAAAGGAATGCCGGCTATGTAAATCACACTTTGCAATCCACTTACATACTGACTTCCTTTGTTCTTTCTTATATTTATTTTCAATTGTGGTTTGTTTTGTTTTTTTCTTTCTCTCCTGAACCACAATTTCGGGGCTAGGGGTGAAAAAAGAATGCATTGGCCCCTTAGAGAGAGGTGTTCTTCTCTCAGCACTACCACCAATATTTATAAACCTCTTTCTTGAGGTTGGAGTATGAGTACTCCTTTGCCTCATAGCAAGTTCCGACATATCATCATCATCAAATAATTGCATATCATCAAGTAATTCATTCTTTTTTTTTCTCTTTATCTTTTTTCAATCTATCCAAATATTCTCTAATCTCCTTTTTTATGTCATCTGTAGCTTGTGGGCATGCTCTTACATTCCCAGAAATTCCAGCTAAATGCTCTTTTTGTCGAAAAATACCTCCCATATAAGTATTTCCACAGAACAAGCAAATCAACAATTTCTATCGTTCGGATTTTTTAGTTTAGCATATTTCCAAGCCGGATCTTTGTTACTAGAAAATTGGGAAGAAGACATTGCCCCAAAAATAAGTATAACAGTATTATTGTACAAGAAGGAATAAAAAGTCATCGACTCTGTGAAGTAGTGCTCGATTTCTTCACGACGTCTGAAACCCCCAATTTCTTATGACAAATTCACCATAATATCCCCAGATCAACAATCAAAGGCATCAAATGAACATCCAAGTATCAAACAACCGCCAAATCGAAGATTTGGATGAAAAAAAAATTTCCGCCAAAATTTTTTTTCCCCTCGATTTGCTGCAAAAAAAACCACAAAAGTGGCTGGAAAGCTTCGTTTAGGGGGTATAATAACCCCCAAACAGTTTCCCTAAACTTTGGAAATTCAAAAAAGACCATTTTGCCCCTTCCCGAGGGGCAAAATCGATAATTTTTTTTGTAGAAAACAGATGCGACGCGATGCGGCCATCATGCAGGATGAGGCCATGATGCGGCCTGATGCGACGCATATGCGGCTGCATCTATCAAAAGCGCATATGCGCCAGTTTGCGATGCAGATGCGAGCGCATCCCGCATGATGCGGCCGCATATCCGGCCATGCGGTCGCATTTTAAAAGACTGCTTGTAAGCCACCGAAATCTTGGAAATCACTTGGTCAATTGATAAGCATTGACAAAACCAAGAATGTGTACCAGCCTCGGACTGTGTCGCATAGCGTTTGTTGGGCTGATTTGAGGAAGCAATCTGTGATCAATAGGAATAGCTCGGTGGAGTACCATTTGCCCAACATCCATCATGTTCAGAATTAAAATCTATCTAAAACAAACAAGTCATCTGGACCATTAAAGTCAATACCATATCATAAAATTATTTTAGCAAATATATTTTTTCTATCGAGGCCATTTATAGATAGGGGAATGACACGCAAATGGCCAATGCGTTTCAACCCCCCTAGAGCCAACCTTGGCATGATATCTTTATATTTATATGGCATTGATTATCTTTTTAAAGAACATTAACATAATAAGGTCTTGGGAGGACCATGGAATCAAGTGCATGTTTTAAAACATTGTGAAAGCCTTTGCTTTGAGCAATTTGTTGGTTCATGACCTTTGGTCCATCAAGGGTTGTCAACACTAGATTAGCAAAGTACACTTTTGATTAAGACTTGTTTTATTTAGGGGACAACCTATGACACATTGTGTCATACAACATCATCAATGGAGTTAATAGTAACTTATAGAACAAGTTAACTTATAGCATGTTGGTTAAGGAACCAAATTTATAGGTTCACGCCCCACTTTAAGCACCTTAATGTTTTATGATGTTGTTAAATTAAAAATGAATGGTGATGGAATATGATAGGTTTGATGAGTAGCATTTTATGGGCATTTGGTGATTAAGGGTGATTAATCAATCCTCACTATCCAATGATGGCAAAGCATGGTGATGGAATAGGCTATGTTGTGATGGCCTCTCTCAGCCCTTGGATTGTCTACTTTGAAGGCTAGGATTCAATCACTCTCTCTCTCTCCACCCTTGATCAGTTCCATAAAAAGGTGAGCTTGAAGGCTAGATGTATGTATGTGTGTGCTAACATCTATTTCTACTTGAGAAGGTTCGAACATTCCATTCCTACATCCATTAAACTCAAATTGGTTTTGAGACCCACGAAATTTTATTTTTCTTTCAAATTAGTTGGTTGATGAGGAACATAGAAGAACAAGAGTTTGTGGTGTGGTGAGAATTTTCTGTTCTCAAATCCAAGATGCATATGGTAAGTATTTAGGAACTGCCTTTCAAACCCCACTGCTGATAACATTTGTTTAGTGTGTTTTTCTGGTATAGAAAAGCTATGAGGAATAATCTATGTTGAGTTCTTTCAAAGATCTTCCCTTTCACAAAGTCTATTGAGTTCAAGGACTTGTTTAAAATATGTGTTCTTTTGCATACAATCACATTATTTTCTTGCAACTGTTAATAGATAACAATTGCCTGATCAAAATTCCACGCCTGCGAGTTGAACTGTTACTTGAGCATATCCTTCGGTGTCGGTTCCATGAACTGCCCTCTTTTCAGCCCTTTTATTACGGATAGATTTCAGTTTAAAAGTGTTGCTTTCACACTTATGCCACAGTTGAACATTGGTTTCATAAAAATTACTCTTCGATTTAACATGTTGCTGAAAAGTTTGTAGAAGCTTGCTTAGAATGAGCAACTCGGACTGCTTTTGATCATTATTTAAGTTGTGGCGTTGAACCTCAGTTCATCGCTAAATAATAGCTTTGCGACTTAGTTCAAACTCCTACCTTGTCAACGGCTCATTTCGGCACACCTACTGATATAGTTTTTGATATGTTTTATGCAAGCGACAATGGCTCAGCGTGTGTCTTTTTGAGTAGCTCAGTTTGGCTATATCTTTCTTGAGAGGATGGATACTTCATTTCAGTTTTAATATCCTCATTGTATGGGTCACACCTAAGAACAGCTTTTGATTGCCTTGTGTGAGATGTATAAGTTGAAACCTGTGGGAATGTGATGGGAACTTTGATGTCTCTTGTATTTTGAGAAATATTTGCCCATAATAAATGGAGAGAGACCTAAATCAAATGTGAAGCTATTGAAACAATAATTGTTTCATTATTGACTTATCTTGGATGATAGCTTCACACAAGTACACCATTCATTGTGATCATGTGATGAAGTGATTTTGGAAATTGAGTAATATCCAATAGCATTTTCCTCTTCCAAGTCATGCACTTTCCTTTTCCTTTACCTTTCGCTGTTCAGGACTTCAAAATCCTATTTATCTTAGACTCAAGTAGTCATCTCTTTGCTGAATTCCTTGCTTTCTAGGAAAATGTATCTCCTTTACTTTCTCTCTCTTCTCTCCTATTTTTTTCCCCATAGTTCCTAATATATAGGATTCTGTTCTCTTCAAAAAAGAAAAAAAAAGTCACATACTCCCTCTTCCTCTTTCCTCATCTTTTGAAATTTCCTCCCACTAGATCCATAAAAATAGGTCCTCTAGGTGACATTTTGAGGACTTCCTAAATACTCTAGAAAACAGGAATGTGGCAAGCTCCTACTACAGTAACTAGAACCCTTGAGCATGCCCATAACAGAAAATAAAAGTCCCATCTCGACCTTCCATTCTTCAATTCCCAAATTTAACCCTAATAAAAAATAATAGACAAATAAAAAATTTGGATCGACCATCGGTTGATTTGCATCTACGAAATAGATGGTGATACTGTTTATTTAACCTTTACTCAGTGAAACATCACCACACTAGTAATTTTACCTTTTCATGTTGGTACTTAAGTAAATCCCCATTTATCACGACAAATGGTAGTTTCTTTTATTTCTTTTTATTATACTAAGCATTTGACCTGGACACCTGCCTCATTAGGAATTATTATACAGAAAAGGAAAATATATAAAAATTGGTTTATCAAGATTGGTGCATTGGAAAAGTTTCATTTGAATTTTAATTTGTATAGAGAAGGAAAAATGTATCAAGATTAGCAGAAAACTAGAAAGCACTCTTCATTTAACCCTTGGACCGGCTTGGTCATTAATGGTGGTGCTGCTTATAAGGAGGCACTGAACAATTTCCTTGTGGACTTCTGAGAGTCATGATCGATTCTGTTGCGTGGGGACTAAATTTCCACTATAAAGGGGGAGACAGCTAAGAAGTTGGTCACCTGGGCCCACTCTGCTTTATGAATATTGTATTCTGATCTGGGTAATGTTTGTTGTCCCTGTTTTGGCAATCTCAGGGGATAAACCCAAGAACCTAAAGTTTGTGACCTTGTGCTCCATACCACTTATTTTGGGGCTCAATGACTAGTAGTAACAACTACTTTGGACTGACCAGGTTTAGCATAGCATGAAAATGCTATAAACAAGATTGGGATATATATATCCATGTTACATTGCTGTTCTTAGTACTTAACTGCATTGTCATGCAGTGCATTTTAGCTCGTACATGTTCTAAAACCTGCAAAGTTATTGCATGATTTGAACCCTAAGCTCTTTCTTTTTTAATTATTAAACCTGCGACATGTTTGTCTATGATAAGCTGCAGCTTCAAATTTAAAAGTCTAGTGCTGTCGTTATTTATTTACTTTTGTTTTTTTTGTTATTGCTATAGATTCTTCCTCCAAGTGAACTGGTTTGGATCTCATTCGAGTCACTTCTAGTGCGATGGAGGTAAAACCGACGGTTGCTTTGAGAGCTGCAATGGTGGGGGCTTTGGCCGCCTTTGCAAAGGTGGCAGGTGCACTCAAGGCTGCAGGTGGAGTTAAGGTGGGTGCTGCCACTGCTGCAGTGACAGCAGCTGCCACTGCAGCGATCTCGGGAACTAAAGGCAACCCTCCAGATGCTCAAAAAGCAGATTCTAGGTGAAAGAGCCTAACACCCCCACTGGCCAACCCAAAGGTCAGCAGTGTTCCAAATCTTTCTAGCACAAATAAATGATGTTATGGGATAAAATTACCTGACCTCTCTCAGTGTCTTTTGTCAGATTGGTTTGGCTTTCTTTTTTTTCCCGCATATTTAGGATTTAGTCATGAGTCATAATGATATCCTGAGGAGGTATCTAATGGGGTTGTTTAGGCATTTACGTGGGTTATTTTTGTTGTTCATGTAAAATGTCAACCAGAAATTGTGAGACCTTATTAATTAAGGACATAATCAGGAGTTTCCGATTTATAAACTTTTGGGAGCTTGTGCAGAAAATATTTACCATTTCTAAATGTCAATTTGTTGATACTATTTGCTTTTCTCAATACTCATGCAATATATTTATGCTTTTCTATTTTGTCATTCTGGATTTCTGGTGAACTGCATATGTTTATTGTTGTAATTAGTTCATTAAATTGTATTAGGTCATGGTTTAGGAGCAACGAATTATGATGGGTCTAAACTTTAACGGTGTGGTTTGTATAAGGTTGCAACCTTAAACAATCAAAATAATGTGCACCACCAAACTTTATTATGAGATGTAAATTTGGTGTAAAAAATTTTTAGCACAAATTATAATATTTTAGACTCCGAAAATGATTCAAATCAAGTAGATCTATAAACACACGAAAATCTTGAAAATGGATGATTCAGATAATATGTTGTAAGAAATATGGTTTTCCAACTTCAAACCAACTTCAAAACAGCCTTTTACGCCTGGTTTTTTTAGATTTACCTTAATTCTACATTTTAAGGATGCAACCTTGTATAAACATTTTCCAAACTTTAAAATGTTTGCAAACACCATGGTTTAGATTAATCCCAACGGTAGTTGCTTTGTAGTTGCGAGATAATTGTGATTTATGCAGCGATTCTTACGTGGGGATGAGTAGCCAAAAGGTTTATTAGTCCTGCGGGAGTATATTATCTATTTACTCCCTTGGGCACAACACATGCCACGGGCATTTTCTAGATCTCAAACAACTCATAAACTAATTTTAGTTTAAGAAAAATTGAAATAAACTCTCTACATATAAAAAAAATAGGACTTTTTGAAAAAACAACCTTATAGTATGTATTGTTCAATATATCGAACTTCTCATGTTATTGTTTTGAGTTTGGCCCTCTGACGTCCTCTAGGGTTTCTTTGGCTATGAAAATTTTGCCCTCATCTCCTCAAAATGGATGAATTTTTGTTTCCCTTCTCTTTCTTTTTTCTTCCATCCTCTCTTATACCCTCACCTTCTCCGCCTCTTTCCCATATCAGGTTCTATCTCGTTCCCCTTTCTCTCCTTGTCTTTTTTCTTCCATCCTCTCTCTCTCTCTATGCCCTCTCACCTTCTCCAGCCTCTTTGCTATCTCCGGTTTTTCGCAAAACTCTTCTTTCATTTGCAGCAAGAGATAAAGAGAGAAAAAGCTAAGAAAGGGCAAAGTCGATAAGAAAAGCAATTATAGAAATAAAAAAAAGCTTGCTGTTTTCAGTTGTTTGAGCTTTCTATAGAGAGAGAATTGGGATCAATTTTGATTTCCTATGTTTTTTAGACTTATTGAAGTGTTGGTTGTGGTGGGAAATGCCTTGCTTGTCGATAGATCTTGGATTGCGGTGCTACTCTAGTTTTTTGTCTATAGAATCTAGTTGATTGTAGATTGATGTGTGATTTTGTTGTAGTAGAGAGAGAAATTTGACGACTTGTTTAATTTGACTATTGAAGAGAAGCGTTGTTGCAGGGAAGGTTGGAGAAAAATTTAGAACCTTTTAAATCGATGATCGAAGAGAAGAGTACTAGGGAATCTAGGGCTCATTTATTCCTACGTTGTCTTTTTATTTTGATAATATGTAGTTGGAGCTTTCAACATTTGGATATTTCTTTAGCGATGCCACCCAATGTTTTGGATATGATCTAGTTTGGAAAATTCTTAGGGGTGCTATTCTGTGGGAGGTTTGGTAGAGAGAAACCATCGTACTTTTGAAGGCAAAGTCTTGCCGGTGGAAAGGATTTTGAATGATATTTGAATGTTATTAAGCATGGCTGTAATTTATTTAAGTTGGGGACTATGAAGTGCCAGACTCAGGTTAAATGGTAACCTCCCATGCAAGACTCTTATAAGCTCAATTTCGATGGGAGTTCATTACGTAATTTGGGCCAAACTGGTTTGGGGGTGGTTAGAGATTGGAATGACAATGTCATCTTCGCTTATGCTGGCCTATGTGGGTTTACCACTATCAACCATGTTGAATTGGCTTCTCTTCTTCAAGGATTAAAGCTTTTTTTAAGGAGAAGAGTGTGGGATCTTTTCGCACGACAGTGAGTGATTCGATGAATGTGATTAAATGGTGTAAAAAAGAACAACATGAGTGTGGCAATTGCAGTCTTTATGGCTACAAATTTTGGACTTGGGGGCTACCTTAGCGGTCTCTTTTTGTCACGTTTATAGGGAAGCTAATGCGTTAGTTGATTCTTTGGCTAAAAAGGGGTGCTTTTTTAGCTATGCTTTTGATTTATGATAATGTAATCTCCTTATTGTAATGCTTCCTCTTTATTAAGTACGGTTGTCAAGTAGCCAAACATAAAATAGAAAAGAAAAAGATTAAGAGGTCCTTACTTAAGCTAGAATATCACCCTATAGTGGTTTTCTTCACATTTCAGTTAAGTGTTTTTCATATGGAATTTTTTTTTTTTAGAAAACTCAAATTTAAGAAAGAGGTTGGGGGCTACAAATGTAAGCGGTAAATGCTAGTCAGATTGTGAAGGAAAAGAGAAGGGGCTTAGAGAGAGCTGGACATGCACCTTATTTTGGCCCTTTTTAATATGCAAGGGGCAAATTATCATTTTACCCTCGACACATGAAATGTGGAGATCCAAAGTGAAGATTAATTCAAAGAGTCTGATTTCATAAAATAAACATCATGGAGTACTTTAAAGCTCAACAAATAAATATGTCAAGACTGAATAGAGACCATCGAAATTTTGAAGGGCTAGATCTAAGTATCACAAAACTCAAAATTCAATTTTTTTTTCTTTTGAAAATAATTATCTAGCAATCCTTAAGTGGTTTGTAATTTTAGACAAATAATATTTTTAAGTAGGTGTTTTGCATGAGGGAGTAGATGAACAGTATGCTCCTGCGAGAGGGTAGCTACCAGCCATGTGCACTTTCTGATTTGCCACCCTCTCTTCGATGGGTGGCCAAATTGATCCCCTCCTTAATACCCTTCAGGGAAGCTATTGGAGAAGGGAACCAATGGGTTGAGGCATCCTATATTTGTGGGAAATGATTCTATGAGCTAGGTGCATAAGTGGTTTTGTTGTGCTTGGATGAACTGAGATGCATTGCCTACTACCTTACATCCCCCACTCTATAAAATGCCCAGTGTGGTTGTATGTGCCAGGCTTCGGGCGACCCATAATTGTACCTTTCATAGCATAATATAATTTGTTCGAAATAAGGAGAGCTCCAGAATTTTTCGAGGGCAGGGTTGTCCTCCTTGAATGTTATAGTGGTGAATTGAGGTTCATCATATATCACCAGGGGGGGGAAGTCATAGCTCCCCGGTCATTGATGCTCCATGACTGATCAAGGTCGAGTAGATTAATTGTTTGAGGATGGTCGACGAAAACCGTAACTATCCCTCGAGCCGTAGGAATTTTGAGACATTGGTGAAGTGTCGAGGCTATGGCCAGATTTTCATGATGCCAAGGCCGCCCTAGAAGCAGGTTGAATGAGTGGTCTATATCTGAGACATGAAATCTCACTATTTGGGATATAGGTCCTATCGTAAGCGCTAGTGGCAAAATGCATTTTGCTTGCCTCTTGCTCCCATCATAGGCTGTGATGGTGAGCTGAGAGGATTTTAAAAAGGCTAGATCTATGCCTATCCTCTCAAATGTCCTTACCAGACAAATGTTGAGGGCTAACCCATTATCTATGAGTACCCTAGAAATCGTATGCCCTGTGGCATAAACAGTTATGTAGAGCGCCCAATTGTGGCATCTATCAAAGTCAGTAGGAAGATCATTGTCATTAAAAATGAGAGGCATTAAAGCTGTCAATTGGGCGCTCATCCCATTGAGTTCTTCCAGCCCCATATTGGGGGAGATGTGTGCTTTTTGGAGCACGCCCTCAATTTGTCACCAGTGGGTTGGGGAACTCTTAAGTAAATCTAGGATAGATATAGATATTGGGATCTTATCTAGATGAGTTGGGAGGTCATAGGTATCAGGAATACTATAAGTTGCCCCTTCATGGGTCGGTCGAGTGCCTAAACTCGGGTTATTGAAAGGGGGTTGAAGTGTAGGAGAAGGATTCCTTATCCTCTCTTACAAGGTTTCGACCCTGAGTCGGGTAGGCTCGAAGTGGGGGCTGTGCTTAGTGAGGCATGTGATCACCCTATCGGCAAGGACGTATGAGGGTTCCTCATTAATCCATGTGTCAACTTCCTCGTATGCTCCTGCTAATTGGATGGTTTTTTTGGTATGGTGGCTGCCTTCAACGCTGATATCTCCCAGGTTGGTAGGAGAGGATTGACCATCTTCCTCGGCTTTTTCATTGTGGAGTTTCTCATTATGGGGAATCTCAACCTCTTGAGGTTGTGTCGGAGGCTTTCAAGAGGTAGATTTCCTTGGGACATAGAAGGTTGTGGTAGCAGGTATCATACAGGGAAAGATGGATCAGGAGCGATCTATGATGTATGGATCCTCATGAATAGTTGCGACTACTATTTTTCCCTTTGGGTCGACTGTTGGGGCCTCCATGCTTATCATGAGCGGTCTGCTTGTTTGAGGATTGCCACTTGGTAGTGGTTCGACATAGATTCCCATCTTTTGGTTTGCCTCTTGAACGGGCTCATCTGGCTTAACTACCTTGATTACTCCTTTTTCTATTAGGTTTTTGATTTGATGCTTCAAGGCGATATAATCATGAGTGGGGTGGTGGTAATACTGATGCCATTCACACCATTTGGTCTTGTCCTTCACCTCATATAGCGGTGGCATTTGGGGAAGAAGCACTAGGTCTCCCTCCTTGAGGAGTTGATGAAGGACATCAGCCAAAGGTTGCCTTAGGGTTGTGAAGTGCCTTTGTGGTCTTATGGGTTGATTATATGGCTTGTACATGTTCTTGTCTACAACCCAGTTCCTTGCTGATTTTGATTAGCCGAAGGGTTCCAATTGTCCGGGGCTGTCTGGTGGAGTATGATTTGATTCACCTACCCAGCTGGTTGTGCCTTCCCTCAAGCCATTTTTCTTGGGAGCTTGTTAATTACTTGGTTTTCGATCAACTTAGTACTAGCTAGTTGAGACTTGGTCCTTTTGTATAATGTGATCCT